ATAGTTAGATGGAAAGGCGCTCGTATAGAAATCTGAAGAAAATAAAGTCGAATAAACGAATAATCGGACGGCCGGATTGTTGAACGGAACGAAAGTCGCACGGCCGGATAGTTGAGTAGAAGATAGTGAGTGGAAGATTGGATTGAAGGATATGGAAGGAGGGACATCATAACGGACGAACGGACGAATATACTGACAAAACTAAGTTCGAGAGGCGCAACAGGCATTCTACTGCTGCTGGTTACAAACACTTCAACAAAATCACTATACCTTAAATTTCCATTTAGAATGGGTTCAGGGTATAAAGTGAAGCTAAACTAAACTAAATTGATGGCAAGGCCAAAAACAGGAAAATCTAAAGCAAACGAAAAATCAAGAATTGTTAACAAGTGCAAAAATAAACCAGATTTTTAGCTTGGCCAGGGGGCCGGATATGACCAAATTGCTAGGGTTCCCGGCAGCCGGTAATTGGCAATGCAGCAGCAGCACTCGTAGCACTCGCAGCAGCAGCAGCAGCACCCGAAGCAGCTACGGCCGCAACAACAACGACAATTTTTTTTAGTTCAGTTCAGTTTAGTTTAGTGCAGAAAAACGGCTGGAAAAATAAATATGAGCTCGACCACGTCAAGGGCCGCTTTTTTTCTGTTTAGCCAAAAAACCAAACGCCAGCCAGAGACAGATGTGCGACATTGCAATTTGTTACAGTTGTTGTTGTTGTTGCAGTTGTTGCATTAACGGCCAACTTGTAGCTGAGCACCGTGTCGCGCTGGCTGGGAGGCTGGGCTCTGGCTCTGGGCTCTCGGCACTGGGCCTGGGAAGTCAAGCAGAGGCAGAGGCAACCTAAATATTTTAATGCTCCGGCCGCATTGATGGTTCGTTTTTTTTTTTTTTTTTTGCGCTCAGCGACTGCAGTAATTAACATTTTTTGCGTGCACAAATATTTTTCGTTGTTGAGCGAAAGAAGCCAAGAGCAACAGCAGCAGAAGGCAGAAGGCAACAGATGTACATGAAATTCACAGCAGAAGCGAGTGCCGCTGCCTCTGCCGCTGCTGCATGAAAACTCAAGCAAATTAAACTTGAGGTAAGGCCAAGAGGAACAACAACGTGGCAGCCAACTGAAAAAACAACAACAACAACAATGCAGAATACGTAACAAAATATGTTAAAATGCAGCCAAGTGAGTAAATTGTGCGCAGCAACTCGCTAAACACAACAAAAAAAAAAAGAAACTGAACTGAACTGAACTGAATGTTCTGTTTATGTAGCACACACATACACACACACACGCACACCCACATAGATGATATGTATGTATGTATGTGTGTATGCACTTCATAAACTAAGCAAATTATTATTTGAAGGCAGGGCTCGGGCTGCGGCTTTGGCTCTGACTTTGGTTTGAGTGTTTAGCCAGCGAACTTGTAAAAAAATTAAATTGTTTTAATTACGCGCTGCCGCAAATTGTGGCATTGTTGTTGCACAGCAAGTGCGGACGGACGGACGGACGGAGTGAGGGGTGGCTGTGGGTGTGTTGCTGTTCAGCTTATTGTGTTCTGATGTTGTTGTTGGGAAAAAATTGTTGCCAAATTGCGTTAGCTTTGCTTTGCCTACATTAGCCATAACATTAAGTGTTCCATAATAGGGCTGAAGCAACGCCACAATTGAATTTGATTATCTAGAATAATCTAGCATTTTATTATATAGCTAGAGTCCGACGAAGCTCTTCATATTCATATTTTTGAATTTTGTATACAATATTAATTATATTTTACAATTTAATTTATTTAACATTTTAAAGCTTTCATTATTAAAATGTTTAAGAAATTTCTCTAAGTTTAATTTATTTGTTATTATTTTATTCATTTAATTTAAGTTTTTTTGCA